CATAAATTCAGATTTGAAAAGGAGAGATGGTCTCTGTCCGTTGACACCTGAAGAAACTGCCCTAACTTTAAGGGCATTGGACATTGATCCCAGCATACAAGTTTACATTGCCGCTGGAGAGATATATGGCGGAAAAAGGAGAATGGCTAGTCTTACAGCAGCTTATCCTAATCTGGTAGTTAGAAAGTGCAATCTAGTTTTTTAGCTGCTAATGTTACCTGAATTTGTGGACTCACAGTTTAAGCTATTTTATGTTGAGCAGGTGAGGAAGGAGACACTACTTGAACCTTCTGACCTTATGTTCTTTCAAAACCACTCTTCTCAAATGGCTGCATTGGACTATCTTGTTTCATTGGAGAGTGATATCTTTGTTCCTACATATGATGGAAACATGGCCAAAGTTGTTGAAGGACATCGCAGGTATTTCCATCTGATGAACTTTTTTATATGCTCAAATGCTTAAGATAAATGATATCCTTTTGTTTTGCGTTACCTGGCATGCTTTTGATTGTTAGTAATGCCCAGTATGTATTCAGTACAATTTTAGCTACATATGGTGTCTTCTTATTGGTTTGCCGGTCTTAGTACATAGTAAAGATTTGGTTGTAGCGTTTCTGTTACTTCTTCTATCTAAATCTCTACCATTCTATGCAGATATCTTGGGTATAGGAAAACGATCTTGTTGGATAGAAAGCTTCTAGTGGATTTGATAGACCAACATAATGCTGGATCATTGACATGGGATGAGTTTTCTAACTCAGTTAAGGAAGCTCATGCTGAACGTATGGGCAACCCTACCAAGAGGTTGGTTATTCCAGACCGACCGAAAGAAGAAGATTATTTCTACTCAAACCCATGGGAGTGTCTAGAACCATCTAATGAGGATGAAACGCTAAGTAGCAGCATTTAAATCAAGGTGGTGGTTACATTTGGCGAGAAAAAGAAAACAACCATGCAGTTGTGTGATAGATCTAGAGAAAATAGTTCTCTCAACACCTTGAGACAACAGTGAGAAAGCAGGGTTTTGCTTTGAAGCAGCTCTTGAAGTTTAGTGGGAGGTGCACTTCGACGGGCTGAGATGACTCGAGAGCATGCTGGAGAGTACATTGAAAAGTTTTTTACATAAATTAATAATCAAATTTCCTGTATAGAAGCTTCCCTGCCATTGCAGGGTTACATCAACTCTACGGCAGTGTACACAGAGGGGTGAAATATAGAATTTCTTTTACTTGGCAGTACGGACCCAACAATTTTAAGATTCCATCATGGAAAATTTTATTTTGTGTCTCATACAATTGACACTAGTTGTATGAGGCATCTTTTTTATCTCACGGTTTTTTCCATCATGGAAAATTTTATTTTGTGTCTCATACAACTGACACTAGTTGCATGAGACATCTTTTTTATCTCACGGTTTTTTCCATCATGGAAAATTTTATTTTGTGTCTCATACAACTGACACTAGTTGCATGAGACATCTTTTTTATGTCACAGTTTTGTGGACCCAGATTTTGTAGACCTAGAAGTATAAGATTTGGGATCCACAAATTTGTGAGAGAAAAAGGAGTCTCACACAACTAATGCAAGTTGTGTGAGGCACACAATAAAACTTCTCCCGTCCCATACCTTAGTTTAGGGTTCATTCTTCTCTTCCTCAACACTCCCTTACAATTATTTTTTTTCTTGTCTGTGTTTCTACTATCTTTTACACCATTCGTCTCCTTTGCCAACTGCTCTTCTACGAATTTTTGTGCCCCCGGCATTAATATATATATATATAGTTACTTAGGTATTGGATTTAGTTTTTTAAAATATGTTGTCTTGCTATTACTTCTCTATTGCTATCTTCAATTTAGTTTTCTAAATATATTGTCTTGATATTACTTGTATCAAAGGCTTCTTCCATTTTCTTTAGCTGAGGGTCTATCGGAAACAGTTCTTTTAGGATAGGGGTAAGGTTGCGTACATCCTATCATCCCTAGACTCAATTTGTGGGGGCTATTGTTTGTTGTTGTATAGTTACTTAGGCAGGTTATAGGGACTACAAACTTTTATTTGCTTCATTGATTTTCGAGTGCTTAGAATGGTTCTTCTTGTATATTCTCGAGTGCTCAAGACATGAGACTTCAGTAATGATTTTTTGGCCAAGAGGGTCTTGATGTATACAAAGAGGCTGAGAGAAAATTTTATTACCAATTTTCCATGTATATGCGGTTGGTAAGATGTGACTAGTGGGGGAGGACAAGGCCAATTATTTTGTAGTCAATATTGGGTATAATGCCATATAAAATTGAAGGTTACACATACGTCTATTCATTCTTGGAAGATCCAATATATTTAAAAAATGAAAAGCATATGAAAGTGATTACTTTCGGCACATTCCTTCTGATGTAAGAATAGTATTTGATTAATATTCCGAACTATTAATCTAACCACTGATGTTATGTATCATCAACCAACGAACTCAACTGTAAGCCTCCACCAACTTAGAGGTGTATAGGATGTTAGTTTAGTGCAGCTTATGGAACTACAAATTAATGCTGAAAAATGTTACATTTAAAGTAATATTACTTTTAGAGTATCCACTTGTTTAAACATATAAACAGTTAATAATATAAATATACATGAAAAAGAAATGACAAACAGCTGTAAAGATGTACGGGTCTGTCTTTTCTTTTTTGCTTTTCAAGTATTGACATCAAACTTGTTTATAAACTAATTCGTCGCGTGAAAAATATTGCATATATATTGTTGTGGAAGTCTACGATTATATGGTAGTTGGAGAAAAGGTGTGAATCATCGTTCTGATCAATAATTCACGTGTAGGTCGGCTAATACCTGAATTTATTTGAAAAAGAAAAAATTGAAATATTATATCATATCATATAATAAGAGGAGACGACCAAAATGGGGAAAAGCCCAAAAATAAGCCACTTTCAGCATTTAAATAAATATATAAATCTCCAATAAGATAATCTTATGGTAGTACTCATTCCTTCAATCACTAGTGTTTTAGTGCGTCTATTCTAGTTGGAAGGATCATTATTCAGCCTTGTATTATTCTTACATTATTCACTGGCAGTGGCCTTATTCAACCAATTTTAAAATGACAATAGAACAACCCAAATTTACTGGCCCCTAATCCTCCTTTGTTTTCAAACCATTCACTTTAATTTCCACTGGTGAAACCAAAACAGAGAAAACGAAGAATTGACAAATTGATAAAGTCATAAATGGGATAATTCATTGCTTTGAATTTTTTGCACTTGGGAATCGTCGCAAAATCATAAATCCAAGATAAGCAATCCCAAGAAACTATAGGTATTTTATCTACTTTGAATGATCCAAGAAGGCCAATTCTCGAGGGAAGAACTAGGAAGCATCAATCCATTCATTTTCACATTCAAGTCCATTTCTCTCTTTATGGCTCTATGCAACTGTCTCCAAGTTCACTTTTTTTCGGGGGTCATCAATCATCATTCGATGTTCGGTAGCCGTTTTGAGACCTAATTAATCCAAAATTTAGTTGAGAATACTTCAATTTTTTTGGGGTTCCAACCGAGTATTCAGTATCCGTTTTGAGTCCCAACTAATTCAAATTCGTGTCAGAAAATTTCATTTAGGGGTTAAAATGATTCCTAGCAAAGCCAATTCCGTTCCAAACGCCACCCAAGATTTCTAATTAAAACTGAATAACTACTTACCATTCCACCAAAATCTTTAGTGGTATCATTTCATGTCATATTTCGCCATTGTATAACTTGGCACTATAATAATTTTGAGTGTATGTAGAAGTCCACCTAGCTACCGTTGCTTTCGTTACACATCACAGTCGGCTAAAAGGTACTTACTTAAATATATGAGTCAGATTTCTACATCTTTTGACTTCACCTGGAATATACTACTCCATATATTTAGGTTATTTTTTTCAAAAATGTTAATCAGTGTAAGTAGAGCCATTTCTTGAGTTCTAAGGAATTGTAATTACCAACTCCCTTATATATTCATCATATTTTATATTAAGGTAGCAAGATTTATCGATAGTTATGTTTAGTGAGACGGAGCTTCGCTTAACTTGCAAAAAAGAGAGATTGTCGCCCTATTAGTATCTTAATTAAACTATTACTATTAGTTTTTAGTTAGTAATCATTTTCCATATATATGTAAGGGGACCATATATTTACTTTTTCCGGTAAGCTATAAAAATGAAATAGAATGAACAATGTATACTTTCTCCCGCTTTACAAAAAAAATTGCAAGCGTGCTCGCTTTTTCGCATAACTTCAGTATACGGGGCTGAAGTGGCAAAGACAATCACGCAAAACTTCAGCATTCTGGTAGACGGGCCTGAAGTAGCAAGTGTGCTGAACCAAGTGTCTTGAAGTTTTTGTTTTGTAACTGGCAAACTTCAGCTCTAGAGCTGAAGTTTTTGTTTTTGCTGTGAGCACGTGATTTTTGTTTTGCGCGACAGTCACTCCAAAAGAATAAAATTGGTCCTGC